TGCTAAGATTGCTAAACCCTTATGCTCTCTCAACACAAGAAAGCACTCTACAGAGGAAAGTGCAACAAGAGGGCATCGCCAATGTGTCTGCCATTGCCTACAAGCTCCCTGCGGGGTCTGTAACAGATAGGGTGCTAATGCAAGAATGTAGTCAGCCCCCTTCCAGCTAGCATCCACAGAGAACGGCCCACTTTTTATGTAGCATTTCATGTATCTAGTGAAGTAGAAATTTCCAGAAAGCCTACAAGAGGCTTTGCATTGTAAAAATACAAACTGACAGCAAAATTCCGAATGCGTAAGCAGGCACTCCCACAGGCTCTCCGGGTGCGAATCCGTCTGGCTTTAGACGACTCGTAGTCTAGCCAGGAGACAGCAGCATCCCGAGGGAGAATATTTTGCTCTGTATTGGTGAGCGTGGATGTGTTGGTGTGCCGAGCCTCCTCTTAAAATAGGGCAAGCGTGATACAATGCAGGGATCAGTAGAGGCTGCTTTGAAGAGCCCTTCTCTCAGGATTTAGTTAAAAGAAGTGGCATCAGAGGTGAGAGTGTGAACCTCGTACTAATGCCCAAATCATAGAAAATGTGGAGGGTTCTTAGAATCCTTTAGTCTGACAGTTGAAAGGGAGAGTTTAAAGGTAAAGCATGTAATTTCAGAGCAGCACTGAATAGAATTGTAATGGTTTAGTTTGAGAAGCCTGACTGGGCCAGACATAATGCCATTGGCTCAACCAACTCAGTGAGTTTGGGGTAGGAGTTGGGCCTTGTTCCTGGATCTTTGACATCTTTGATATGTGTCCTATAGGGGTGGGTGATATACTGGTAGACATGATTAACCCGTTTGAAATTTGTCAACCGGTAGAGATTTTGGACAATCGTCTCTTTTGCGGTTACACGCTCACGTGACGTTGCTGTGCTATGTGGTCACGAAAACGTAACGTTTGCGTGTTTTTAAGCACTGCAGTTTAAAAACAAGTGATTTTAAGCTGTTTAAATGCAATCGTCAGCGAAAGAAAACTAATTTCGCTATATGTGCTGTGTTGTGTGGGTTTGCACGTGTGTGTGATTTATTTATTTGAGCCTGTAGGTGGAGTTGTGAGGAGGGATTTCCTTGATCCTTGAAAGTGGAATGAGGTCATCGGGGATTTCTACTATAAAAACTTTGATGGCATTGATGGAGTCTGGTGATGGCATTTGCTGAGATCGCTCATCTCCTCTCCTCTCCTCTCCTTGAAGGAGTGATCCTGGTTTGGTTATTTTTTACTTTGAATAGTTTTTTCCTTGACTTTTTGATTAACCAATTTTCTTTCTACATCTATTTTACATATTTTTTTGTCTTTTCACTAACGAGTAGTGGATTTATTTTTATTAGTTCACGTTTTGCTATTTAGTTAGATCTAGCGAGGGAAGCAGTGGCCCGCAAGACTCACCTACTTTATTTTCCCTGGGAGCTAGGCAAGATCTCTCTAGGTGGTTAGGTGTAGTCAAGGTTTTCTGTTTTCCGTAGCTGCCCTACCTGTTAACTGTTATTACTTGTGTTAATCTTTTGTTCATTATAGCATATTTCTAGATTTGTATTGTTGTTTGTTCGTTTGTTTTGCCTTTGGATTAAATCTTATGATGTAAATAGACGTCAAATCTTAATTCAGTCATCTGTGATTTTCTTCTATGTTAGGTCCTTGCCTCTCTGATTAGATTTAATGAGCTGAAATTGGTTTTGGGTCATAACATGCTGTCAAAGAGACACATGCACGTGAAGAGTAGAGTGTGGGAGTATTAAGTTATTTTTTGCTGCTTAGGCCTTGAACGGTTAAATACACAATGCTATGCAAGCATCTTTGTAAACACAGTAATTTAGGTTTTAAGTGAAAGCAAACAGCTGAGAAAGAAAACACACGTGTAACAGTGTATTGGATCTGGGCAGCTCTTAGAAGTGACAGCAGTCTAATATTCCTGTTGTCTGTCATTCATGTTAATCAAACAACAAAAGAGAGAAAATCTCTCGCTGCTCTTGACTAAATCACTTTTATAACTTTAATAATTACTTTTTGTTGTTGTTGTTGTTGTTGTTTTAGGCTAGTATAAGTTGTTTGTGATATTGACACTGCCGACAAGAATTATGAAATTTCTATGGTATCAAAAATGTTGATATCATAAAGACCTTATTTAAAGCAAAAATAACTGTATTGTGATATATATTGTTAGCATGAAGTAAAATGACTCATATCGTGATATAAGATTTTGGTCATGTTGCCAACCCCTTAGTGTCCAGTTTCATTTGGATATTTTTTGGCTAATATTTTTGTCAAAACATCATCCAGTAGATATATTTTGGACCTTTAAAATTCAGAATTTACACTGCTGTTTATTTGTATTTTTTGTAATAATCTAATACATTAAACGTAACAGTAAAGCCATTCAGAATGTTACCAAAGATTTCTGTTTCAAATGCTGCTCTTTTGAACTTTGTATTCTTCAAAGAATTCTGGAAAACAATTATAAATGATCATGTTTTCCACAAAAATATTTAGCATTATGACTGTTCTAAACATTAATAACGAGAAATGTTTCTTGATCAACAAATCGGCATGTTAAATTGATATCTCAATCATAAATAATAAATAAATTATATTTTAAAATACGTTGTTATCAAAAACATTTATTTTGAAATAAAAAAAACATTCTGTTTTTATTTTTTTTATTATTATTAATTTAATTTTTTAATAAATAGCAGCTTTGTGTAATAAATAGTAGCTTTCGTGACCATAACATTTGATGAGAAACAACATTTTACAAATCTTACTGCCCCCAAACTCTTGAACAGTAGTGTGTGTGAATCCACAAATTTTTTAAAGGGATAGTTCTCCCAACAATGAAAATGTTGTCATCATTTACTCACGTTTAAACACACAAAAGAAGATATTTTAAAAAGGTAAGTTAATGGAGTCCACTGATGTTTTGGACCCTACTGAATTTTATTGTTTAACAAAAACAGTAGAAAAACATTGATACAAATATCTTCTTTAGTGTTTTTATATGAAGGTATTGTAACAATGTGGGGGTGAGTGAATAACTGAGAATCATTTTAGTGTAAACTAACCCTTGAAGTGCTTTCACACACAAGGCATCTATAATTGATCATACACTCTTAAAAATAAAGGTGCTTCAAAGGGTTCTTCAAGCGATGCCATAGAAGAACCATTTTTGGTTCCACAAAGAACCATTCAGTCAAAGGTTCTTTAAAGAACCATCTCTTTCTTACCTTTTTATAATCTGAAGAACCTTCTTTCGCCCCAAAGAACCTTTTGTGAAACAGAAAGGTTCTTCAGATGTTAAAGGTTCTTTATGGAACCATTTAGACAAAAAGGTTCTTCTATGGCATCGTGAAGCACCTTTATTTTTAAGAGTGTAGTGCTTTGCAGATGATGCACGCTTTGGCAGACATCTTGGCGACATCTTAATGCATGTATCTGGGAGAGCAGAGATCAATCTTTAAAAGTCAACCTCTTTTTGTAATATGTCTTATGGGGACTGCTATGTTATGTTCAGCAAAAACAAAAAAAAATGTATTCATTTTTCTCCAAATTCTCTCCTAAAGGATTACCGCATCCCTAAAGCAATAAGCACATCAGTCCTTGCAGTTTCTGATTGATTCGCCATCTGAGCGGTTTCTACTGGGTTAAATCGTGCTAGCTGGCTTGTGTCATGAGCCTTGAGGATTTGTAAGCACTGGATTCCAGAACTGCCTTTCCTCCCACTGCTTGGACAGTCTGGTCCTCTGGTCTCAGTGGTCTGCAGGGTCTGCAGTGACCAGAGGGGGTTTGCCTCACAAGCCCGTCCTGTAACGACCACAGGAATTCAGCGACAGATTTTTGCACCAGGAGGACGCAGTGAGGGGCTAGAGAAAGGAAAGGTGCTGGGCTGGCGATGAAAGAGTGTGTGTGTGTCTATATGCTCACACACACTAACCTGAGTGTTACGTGATCAACATATGCTTCATGGAATCTTTTGGCCAGGCTATTAATATGTTTTTTTTTTCCACAAGCATGACATGTTAGCTCAAACATGGGCATAAACTTCAGCTTTATGTGAGTTGTTGTGCTATAAGCAAGCAACCGTTTGACTGAGCCAAAGCTAATCGCTTAATTAAAGGAATTATGTCAGGTTGGCAATCATCGTGATAGTGGAGACCATGAACATCTGCCTCACTCATCACAGAGTGAAATATTCACAACAGTTGGAAACAGTTGCTGGTTGGATGCTGTTAGTATTAGTGTCAGGCAGAGCGGTGTAATGCGATCCTCATGTGCAAGGCTAATGATTACGGATGAGACTTGTTTTTTTTTTAGAATGTGATTAGGTTAAGGGTGAGTCCGTGTGTTGGCTGCTGTGTGATGTTAAGTTATTTATTTAATGCTTATTTTATCATTAATGTCCACTGAGGCATTCAAATCTAATCTGGCAACACCAGATAAGTGTAATAATCTAGAAAATTGAAAGATTTAAGGATTTTAAAGGTGTCCAATCAAATCAGTAGTATGATGAGGGACTATATATAAATTTGTAATATAACAAATTCAACACGACATATTAAGGCAGTTTTATATGAATAGTTTAAAGAAGAAAATATATCCTGCTTTGAAGATTGTTGACTAAGGATTATTTTCAATACCTGCCACCTGAATCGCTGCCATTTGATTTTTTTCAATGGTTTTGACACTAATGTTTTCTCTGAAATTAAACTGGCAGGATAATAACAGGTATCAAAATATCATATGATGTACCGTTATAGAGTTATTTTTCTTTCTCATAGAGTTCCCAAGAGTCCTCTGGAACTTTTTTTTTCTCCTGCAGTTTTTTTTTTCTTTCTCTCCCTGTGATGCCCCAAAAAGCTTTTAGGAGTTATTCCATGTTGGGATTTAGATGCCAGATATCTGCAGGACATCAGTCTCTCATCTTCCTAATGTGTTTCTATGTGTGTATGTCCCTTTGTGATCTTTCAGAAGAAGAGCAAGCTGCATTACCACATTGCAGTCATCATAAACTACCTGGGACACTGTATCTCTCTGGGAGCCCTGCTGGTCGCCTTCATCCTCTTCATGAGACTCAGGTGGGTGAGTGCCTCCGCTGTGAGGGCTTTTCAACAGAATTGAACATCTGCATTAGTCACACAGGTGGACTCGCATGAGAGAGATTCATGTATGAACCGCTGCTATTGCCTTGTGAAGTGTGTGGATGAATAAGTAAATAAGGATTCTCAGGACTGTAAAAGATTTAGGGGGAAATTTATTGCTCAGCTGTGGCTCCTTTTTTGCTCTGGAGACCTAATGGAGTAAAGTGTGTAATTTTTGTGCCACCAACTAAATGCAATTGCAAAAATTATGACTTGATGTTTCAAACAGACTTTCCAAACACTCCCCCTTCTGCCATTGGTTGGATAATCATATGCAATAGTCCTGCTCCAAACGCACATCATTGGCTCGCAAATGAAGCAATGTTTTGATAGCTCATCAGAAAAAAAAATTATTTGGGTTTTAACATGGTTGCAGATTTTTCTTCTTTCTCCATAAATAAAAACATCTCAACATATATCAATATCTTTGATATATATTATTTTTATATTAAAAACCAATGTGTGTGTGTATATGTAGATGTATATGTATATGTATATGTGTGTAAAGATAGATCCCACATCCCTAATATATATACACTGTACACACACACATCAATGGGAGCTACAATTTTGTATCTTCTGTAGATCGCTTTTGCGTGTGCAAAAAAATAATACCTAATATCCAGATATCGCTACAAATAATCCCTTTTCTGGACAGCTCTCCTAACATGTCTAGTATCCTTTGCTTGGATCAACTTTAAATCAGTTTAACTGAGAGGGACGTGGGCTCAGCCCCCAACACAAATATAGGCTGCCTTCTTGTCACATCCCATCAGTACATCAATTGATGTACTTCCAGCTGCTGACAGAAACTATACATCGGCTGGCCAGCTGAATGGCAGAGAACGGAGAATTGTATATGCTCGCTGATCACAGGCAACGAGGCTTCTGAGGTCCAAGGACAACCTGTCCAGATTATCTCTCTCTCTCTTGTCAGGGCACCTGTGAAATCGATACGTCATGGGTCAGCGGAGTGCTCCCAGCAATGAGATTTTAGACTGATGGTGTAGAAATGAAGACATCTTAGCAGCACATCAAGGGCACGCACACTCCTCTTCATGCTTATTCCAGTCCAGAAGTGCCATGGTTTAGGGACGAGAACTGAAGGTCTTCAATCAAACTGAGAGACTTGTTTCTATGGGATCATGTCTAAGCCTTAATTAGCCTGGATCAATGTGTCAAACTGGATGTGAGGAAGAGAATAGTTACGTATTTCACCATTCCCACACACTCGTTGGTGTTTTGGCCACAGATTGAGGCGAGTAAGCAGATGAAATCCGCTTTCTGCCGTTTAGGATTATTTAGATTAGATTATCCCAGACTTAATCTGCCTTGATTAATCCGGGGAAAATATTCTGGCATCTTTCCCTGGATTTCCAATCAAAATCATGCTAGGAGTCAGCTGACAGATTTATTGGATGCTGCTTTTCACAACAATGTGCCCTGCTGATAACCCTCTGTCTGTCTAGCTAATGTTCCCAAGTCAGTGCGTCATGGATATATTGAGCCTAGGTGCGAGTACAGAGGTTGTAAAGTTGTAGTTGGGCTCAAGCGGGTCCTCTAGCAGGGGAAAAAAAAAATGTAATGAAATACACGATGAACAGATGTTCAGGGTAAACACAGAGTGTTCTTGCACTCAGACCCTCCAGCCATTTTGTGTCTGCCCACAAGGACAGAAGGACAGGAGTATTACATTGGCTTATTAATGTTTCAGCAGACTGCATTTGCACAGCAAGGGATCCAGGATTTGGAAGTGTTTCTGAGACACCATGAATATACATATACATACATACACAGATTATTATATTTGATAGATACAACGTTATAAATAATGAGAAATTAAATAATAATAAAGAATTTGTCTTAAAAATGACATAAATTGCAGAAAACACTAATTATTAAATAACTCATATTTATTACAATGTTTATTTAATAAATTAAGAAATAAATATTTTACTAAATTAATAAAATAAATAATATTATTAACACACACATATAATATTATATTTAATATATAAAGGCATATATTTATATATATACAGCAATCAGAATGAAGTACTCACTGTATCTTATCCCATTGAATTTAGTACATCCAGTTGTGATGTTTGGTACCTTGCTGCATTGTGTAAGAGCAGAAAATAAGACTCACGAGCTGGATATTAGATACAATCATCCTATATAAATGCTAATAGGCCAATACCTACAGTAGCAAGAGTGAATTGACTATAATGTCACTAAGATTACAGAACACTCTAACCTCACGTAATTTCAGGAACGCCCTTGTATTCCATATCAGTGCTCACCTGTCAACCGAGTTTAAACCGGCTCCTCCGTCATTCACAGAGTGAGCGGTGCTGGGTAAAAAGCAGGAGGCATCAAAGTATGAAAGGAGAGCAAAGCTGCTGTGGGCGGCACCATTGAAGGGCTCAGCCGCAACAGCTCAGGTCAACATAACAGTGACAAGCCACTGTTGGCAGCTAGCTTTTTTTTTTATCCTGTTTTTTGACAAAAGGCTAGACTGGGAGAGCCTTCCTGTCCTGTGTGACACAAAAACCTTCTTACATGTGCCCTCAGGGCAGAGACGGGAGGGAATACAGAGAAGCAGAATGAAAGTATTTATCTGCATATAATGCCTCAAAATAAACCATAATAAATGCAAGTTGGAATCAAGACCCTTTATCCCAGAAGGAAAGAGTTTCTATCTATAAAAAGTACTTTTCCTGGGAAAGCAGTGTGTGTATTTATCTTTGAAGACTCCATAGTGGTTTTGATTATGTGTGTAACTAAATTGAATAATGCTTCATTATTTCAAACAATCAGAGCTTTTACTTAAAACACAAACAAACAAATCCATAAAAGCAGCAATTGTGCTTTTTGCATGACTCTTACTAGAATAGCATGTGTCCTGCTTAATTTTGCTAAACAATTGTCCATTAGATGTCCTCTGGCAAAAACAAATGTATTAATAAAAATAACAAACAGCTCTTTGTTAAAACGGCCACATTAGTGGCATAAGCTTTTTTAGCAGTTTTCTGCTGTTGATGTTTATATAGATGAAGCCTTTTTGGATGATCTGGTTTTCCCTGAGGAGGTCATGTAGCTTTGTGTTTCACAGATGCGTTTTGGGATTTTAATCCTGTCAGAATTGAACAAGATGGTGTTTTCCGTCAAACATCCTCGGGTAAAATCATGGAGCAATTATGGTTGTCTGAGAGCTGTAATCCTGTCTGAATTGGAATGACAGCAATTGTGGTTTATTATTGTTGCACAAAGCTGCACAACTGTTTTCAACATTGATAATTTTGATTACGTTTTTTGTGTGTGTGTATGTGTGTTACCATTTTTATTGTTTGAAAGCATAAATGCAGTCTTGGAGAGCATGAGACTTTTTTCAAAAATGTTATTTTAGTATCATTGATGTAATTTATGTTAAAAATGACGGTCCCATTTTATACTAAGTGGCCCTAATACATGTGTACTTACATAGTAACTAGATGTGTGCATAGTATGTAACCACAGTGTAAGTACACATTGGTACATAGTACATATCTACAGCAGTAATGTTTGTGTAACTACACATATGTCACAACCCACTGAATGGTATGTGTAAATACAAATGTGACCCTGGACCACAAAACCAGTAATAAGGGTCAATTTCTAGAAATTGAGATTTATACATCATATAAAAGCTGAATAAATAAGCTTTCAATTGATGTATGGTTTGTTAAGATAGGACAATATTTGGTCGAGATATAACTATTTGAAAATCTAGAATCTGAGGGTGCAAAAAAATCTAAATACTGAGAAAATCGTCTTTAAATTTGTCCAAATGAAGTTCTTAGCAATGCATATTATATTACTAATCAAAAATTAAGTTTTGATTTATTTACGGTAGGAAATTTACAAAATATCTTCATGGAACATGATCTTTACTTAATATCCTAATGATTTTTGGCATAAAAGAAAAATAATAAATAATAATTTTGACCCATACAATGTTTTTTTGGCTATTGCTAAAAATATACCCAAGCGACTTAAGATAAGGTTTTGTGGTCCAGGGTCACAAATGTGTAACAGGACACTGGTAACAACACTTTTTGGTAATGAAAGTACAAATGTGTAACAGGACTAACAGCACTTTTTTGGTAAAGAAAGTGTTACACCTTATGTTAGATTTATAATGTAATTACTCTGATGTTACACAGCAGCGGCCAGTAAGTTAGGCTTTACATATAAATTGTGGTTGGTGTCCAGAATGTTACACTTTATATTAAGTGGACAGTTCCTGAGGAGTTACCTTGTAAGTGCACTGGTATTACAGTGGTGCACCAACTTGAGATCCTCCCACTTTACATATCCCTAAACCTACCCATCTCCACCCCCTGGATCCCATTTCCACCCCTAAACCTACCCATCTCCACCCCTTGGATCAAATTGTTCCAATTACTCATATACATATTGTTGTTACAAAATATTGTTATATATGTTCTGTTACACATTTGTACTTACACAAACCATTCGGAAGGGTTGTTACATGTGTGTAGTTAAAGAAATATTTCAGCTCTAGATACTATGTACCAATGTGTACTTACACTGTGGTTACTTACTACGTACACATCTAGTTACTATGTAAGTACACAGGTATTAGGGCCACTTAATATAAACCCGGACCAAAATGACTTGTATAGCTGAACTTAAGTTTTTAAGTAAAGTGTTTTTTTATGATTTTAGTTTTAGTTTACAGTAGTAATCCTGTTACGAACGCAAATTTTAATTTTTTTTTTTTTAAATGTTACTGTATGTATAGATAAGAAACTACTACATAAAACTACTTCCATCTGAGTAGTGCTTTAGAGATGTGATAACCATCTATTAATCTCTGAAAAGTGCCTTCTCTTTATGCAGTCACTCTCGAAACAGTCAGAAGTAAACTTGTTCTTC